CGTTTCGGAATGAATAAAAGACAATACGAATGATTGAAATATAATTCATTGGTTGATAAGATAAATGAGAGTCTGCACGAATCACTGAATGATTTAAATTAGTGAATGAACTGATCGACTAATGTATGAATGAATAAGCTAATTAATTAATTAAGGGAAGATTTAAATTGGCAATAAGTTAATTTTGCTAGAGAAAAGTATTACTGACCTAAAGATATTACTTCTTTAATAACTTGAAATTAGCGCGTACTAAAATACTAAAATAAAATAAATTATAAGTGTAATTTACAATTCGTGACATGCGTATAACTTATTAATTTTTCGTATAACTCGTGAACCGTTTGTTTTTACGTGTGACTTGTTAAGGTGAATAATTTGTCAACCACTATTTTTGCGTATAATCCATTAATTTATTTTGCATACGTATATAACCGTTAGCTGTCACTCTTCGTGTAATCCTCTAATTGCTATGCCTTTCACGTAATCTACTAATTTCACGTGTAATGCGTGAATTGCTACAGTTAAGTTAATTTTGGAATATATAACTTCTTTTATGAGAAATCAATAAAATTATACTTTTAGTTGAAAAAAGTCCCCACTTTAAATTACCGCAATTTGTCTCATTTATTCCATCACCGATGGGAAAATGTTTTGCGCTCGCCGTATTTCCTGAGTGTGTGTATGTGTCTGTGCGTGTATGTGTGTGTGTGTGTGTGTGTGTGTGTGTGTGTGTGTGTATGTGTGTGTGTGTGTGTGTGTCCCGGTGTGTAGGAGGGGTGCAGTTGTCCGTACTCTCCAACCACTGAACTGAATCTATCCGACCATTCAATTTATCGGGTCGTTCAATTTGCCCGCCATCTTGTCCCGATCATTCTCATTGTCCGATGGACTGACCACTCTTTCAAACTATCCGTAAGGGAAATTGTTGCTCTGCTTGGTTATTTCATTTTGCTCATTTTATCAGATCACCTGGATTATTTAATTATCAGTTAAAATGATTTATTGAATGGTTGATGATTTGGAATGATTAACCCTTTGCTTGATGAGTTATCGGATTAATCTGATTCATTTAAATCGGAAAAGTCAAATATTCTACAATACTTTATCAACTTTCTACTTACAAAGCAAAGCGTTCATTGTATTTGTTCTTATCACTGTAATTTATTTGATTTTCATTGCAATTATTGGATTGTTTTATTCCAGATTTCATGTAAAAGTTTTCTTTTTTTCTTGTTGAATGGAAGCTACGATATGAAATGGCATCGTCGTTGATTAAAATATTTCGCTTCAGAAAGCACAAAGATTGTAATGATCTTGTAGGTTTATAAGTTATAATGTTTCTTTTATGTTCTTTTATTTTTAGTTTAGGTTTAGCATTTCAATGAGTAGTAATGAACAGTGGAAATATATGAAATTGATAATTATAACTTCTTTTCCCCTTTTAGTCATTTATATTCACTTTTTGTCTTCTTTTTTTCCATTTTTAGAAACAGTTATTTTTCTAAAAAAAAGTTACAAACAGAACACTACAATTCAGAAGCTTACTATCTAAAATAGAGCTTATGGCTGTCTTAAATATTTGAATTAGGGAAGTAATATACCGCTTAGCAAGATTAGATATGAAGGGTAATCCGCTCTACTTAGACATGATTTTTAAATTGGATTTCGTGGTATATTATTCAACTCTTTATTAACAGACTAGACACTTGTACTTATGTTGCATGCTATGCTTATGATAGGAAGCATATATAATATGTCAAAAAAACTTAGTTTATTTCCAAATAAATACTTTCTTAATAATTATTTATTGTTAATCCTTATAGAATCATAAGGAATCTTCGCGTCGTTCTTTGCGATGTTGTTCACCAATTCCCTCTTGGCGATCCGATAAGGAAGCTATCTATATAAGCGGTGCATCATGGACTCGACCATCAGCGCCTTATTCTGTTATTACGGCGCCAAAGAAGGGCAAGCAAACAAGATCATGCCCTGGAGGAGTTTCCATTTTCCCGATTAAATCATCTAGCAACAAAAAATGCGACTCGGTTGAGAGCAAGTCCGTTTCATCCACTTTTTTTTTTTTTTTGTATTTATTGATAACCATCTACTTATTTATTCGTTAGTTAATGTGTAACTTATGTAATATTTTGTCATTTCTAACTGCAGTATTCATATTTCATTTTATCAAGTAGACGCATGTTTGATAGCCAAATCAAACTTTACATTCACGTCAGATCGTCACGATGATTTTAGAAGCGCTGGGATAACAACTGACGTCAGAAATTTGGATGCTGAAGTAAAGACATCTGAATATGGTAGTGCTGATCCCAGTCCAACAGATAGTTCACAGAGTGCTCCTGTACCATTTTTGGAATCCAAAGCTGATATCGAGTTGAAAGCTGAGGTCTGCTAATTTTAATTAAAAGTATGGGATGGAAAAATATTTTCTTGTTCTAGAATATCGTAGGATACGATATGTAGATACTTTTCAGACGCAGAGGTCAAAGTTTTGTAAGAGAATGATAATTTTCGTCAAATTTTTTATGAACTGAATCAACTCAACTCTGTTATGAAGTTAAGTCAAATTTGACTTTTTAGATTGAGAAATACGAGTTTGAGATACGAAGATTAAGGAAACGTTTGAAGGAAGAACGACATTATTTCAAAGGACAAATCATTGCTGTACAGGTGAAACAATTAGTTAATCAGCTTGTGATTTTTGATTGTAGCAGTCATTGACAGTTTTATATTGCAGAGGAAAGTGTTATTAACTTATTAAATATTGTATTGCAGAGGAAAGTGTTATTAACTTATTAAATATTGTGTCAATCTGAAATGCTATTTTATTTATTTTTTTCCCAGAAGGAAAAAGATCACATGAGGCGATATCTAGAAAAAGCTAGCCGAGCTGTCATGCATATGCAACGAGGAATTGATCAAGAAAGACGAAAGAATTCAAATTTGAGGAAGCAGTTACACGAATCAGATATAATTATTGTGAGAAATATTTTCTTCAAAGAAAAAAAAAATGCTTTTATGAGAAATCTATTAATTGTAGTATTATTGAGAGCCGACTGGAAGCGATAACTTTTCCTCCTCTTGGAAGAGACTTTTGCTTTATTCTTTCTTTTTTTGTAATTGGTTAGAGAGAATTTTTCTTTTTTTTGAATTCTGTATGCTTTATTATATATACAATCGTCACACTTCGCATTGTATTACATTTGTGAAGATTTGTTGTTTTCTGTGATAGGATTTATTTTTTTCAGATTGGTCTGCAAAATCAACTTAGGAATAATCAGTATCGTGAAATAGAACGTATGGGTAGTGTTAGTTGTCCATCGTGTGGTTCAACGATTGTTGGCGCTGGTGAAGCGCTATGTGCGCTTACACACTCGAATGCAAATCTTTACGACGATTCATTTACTTCAAATGTTAGTGATGCACTGGATGAAGTGAAAAGTTTTCGTAACAAAAGATGTAGTACACCGACAGCTGCACCATCACCAAGAACTTCGTCACCATCTATGAAGGTACTTTTCTCTGCATTTTCTGGATTTTAGCAGAAAAAAAAAAGAAATTAGATATTACTTAGGTATTAAACTGGTTTGAACATTTATTTGGATTACTGAATTCAGATGTTTAACTTTTTTATAAACTTCAACTTCAGTATTCCTAATGCGAAGCGAGAAAACAGGAAAAATGTTAAAAACTCTTAACATCCTTAATTTTAATTTTTAGGATGCTAATATGCTTCCGGAGCAAATAACTGCGGACGAAAAATCATGTGTAAAATCGCCACATAGTCCTTTGAGGCGTTCATATTCGGATAGTGAGTTACCATCGATGGTTTCAACAACTGAAATAGAAAGTGGTTTACAAGAATGTTTGCTACAATTAACCCACTTGCCTACCCGTGGAGAATTGCTTTCTGAAAGCTTGGTTAGTGGTTTTTTTTTTCTGTGAAACTCGAGTAAGTCACTAATAAATGTAGACAGTGGGAAATGTAAAGACTGTTTCCGAATTTAGCTAGTCTATAATGTCTTCACGGAAATTTTAGATATGACCTTATTCTATAATTTTTATTAATTCGTATTTTTCATCTTTTTTTAAAGGATGGCACCAGTTTTTCGTCAGATGAAGAAACAACAACCATTGAATTGATAGAGAAGCAGTTGAGACGTCGTGGTGACAATGTTCGTTTTGTACCTCCACGGCGAGCTGTACGACAAGCAACTTTTCGACGTTTTGGTCGTAAAGAAATAAGTGCTCTGGCAGAATTTGATTATTTGCAAAATTTGAGTACTGATGCCAGTGGAATTGCAACCAGTTCGGATTATTCATCACCAGAAGGACGTCTGAGATTAAATAAGGAACGGATAACCGAAGGTCGAACACTATGTAAATTAAAGGTCTCATCATGATTTATTTGAACACTTTGTTTTTTTATAATCATAATAAAGGTTACATCCTCATTATCAGTGATTAATGTCTATAAATGATTTTTTCTTGTTGAAATTCTGCTGTTATACTACTTACTCTATTTGTGCTGTATTTGCTATATATAATATCTTTCTCTAATTTTTCTACTTTTTAAGGAGTACAAATTTTGACAAGTTATTCCTTAAATAATGTTTGTTTTAATGATTTTAAACCTTCTTGTGAAGATACTCATTTAAGGAAAATTTAATTGCACACTGAAAAAGGCTGCTGGTATCTTACGATATCGAAGCAATTAAAGTTCAGTCAAAAATGTTTAAGTCAAAATATAGTATACATACATACATGAAATCGTGATATATTTTGGATTTCGTATTTTACGTTTCACTTTCCCAATTCATATCCGCCAGCCAGTACCTTTCCTACTATTGCCCTAAGGTCTTAGTTACTTATATTTTCGTGCCTATTATCAAAATCATATCACTTGTTCCAAATCATATTTGCTTTCACTAGAGAGAAGAAGCATTCTTAACTCCTTTTCTTTCAAATCATCGAAATAACATTCAGTTTTCATCAATAATTTCGGTACCATTAACACTTGTAAGCATCAAATAGATTTTACGCGCTAACACTGGTCCAATTCTTTTGTCATAGTCCATCTTCGTATCAGCCAACATTTTTATTCCTTCTTTCATTGGCATCGTCCTTAATCTGTAAATTGTGGGATTCAGATGATTTTAAGAAGTTTTATGCGATTTTCGTTCCGAACATTTTAGGATTTGAAAACTGACTGGTTGAAGTTTCCATTTGATGATGTTTTAGAACTTTCTTATAAAAAGGGATTTCTTGGTAATAATAGTTAACACAGTCTACGTTGTACAAAAACTTACAACTTCGAAAGAGCATGTGGGCTTGGAAATGCCTTTACAATTGTCCGCTGTGCATCGGTTCCCATGCGATGGATCTGACTTAACATTTTCATCCACCAATCAGATATAATGGCTGAATCATCACTCTGTAAATTATAGATTTAATTAGGAGAATGGATTTCATTTTTCGAGCCAAATCCATGTTGAATACAAATTCATTGTGCTTTTCATGTTGGAAGTCTTACCGCTCGTTCAATTACAGTGTACTCAAAAGGAGTTTCTTAAGAATTTTGAAATATGTGGAGAGGTTTTTCTCTGGGAGAATATGCATATAGAAATAAAAATTAAATGTCTAGATTCGTTTAAAACTGAATCACTATACTTTAATAGAAAAGTTTAAAGGATATTAAAGGCAATTTTGATAAAAAGCCAAGAATTGGGGACACTCATTGATGTGATGCCTACGGTGAGAACAAGCAAAATAGTTGGGAATAGAAATGATAGATCACATCTTACTTCAGTGATACCTTTCTCGATATTTACAATAGGCAGAATTTGTTCTTCCAAGCGGTTTGCATTTCGCGCAATGGCTCGATGCATTTGAGCAATAAGCATAGCATATTCTTCCGCACTTAAGATAAAACGAGTCTGAGCTCGAAAACGTTCAAAAATTTCCAAAACAAAATCTGCCACCTGAAGAATGTATTAGCTTTGAAATTTATTATTCGGACAAGTTTTTTCTACCTATCAATATGTTTTCATATAATTTAATTAGTCATTCTACAGCTCAGAACTTCGTAGTTAGCTAAACTAGCAAAATTTCACAAACTTTCTCATTCAACGAGTTTAAATTGTAGGACACTTGCTTTTTCTTTTCGCAACTTTAACGGGCCATGAACAACAAGAGTAAGCTGTGGTGATGGAAATGGATACTTTTTTAGACACTCTTCAATGAATTCTGCAACGTCTTCAGCTGATTTGAACTGATCATAGCGTTGCGCATTCATTGACAAAATACAAAATTGCTCATACATCTGCAACATTTCTTATAAAAGATAATCAAATACTAAAGCTGAAGCTGATAAACACTGTAATTAATGATGTCACCAATAGGGTTAGAAATGCAACGCCTGTGACAAGCAGAACGAAATCTTTAGCTTCCGAAAAAAATGATGTTAATAAGAGGACTGCAAATAAAAATAAATGAACAATAAAAGCATAAGCATTAAATTAAAGTCAAAACTGTTTCATGCAATCAATTTGTCTGCTTTTCTGCAATGTAAAATCTGAATGTCTACTACGGTGGGGCATTAACTTTAAAGGAAGAATTACGATGCCAACTACTAAAATTATTTTAATCAATTTGCTCGTCTTTCATATTATTTAGGATGTGAAAATGTCCATAAATTGCATGAAGCTTTCGGAGATATATTTTTTCCTGTTTGACACTGTTGTTGAATATTTTCAACATTTTATAACCGCAAACAACCGAAGATAATATCAATTAGTGAAATGAAATGAGCAGAAATTGAATAAAACAAAAACGAACCAACTTTTCGCTACGAATAAATTCGTTATTTTCCACTTCTCCCTGCAAAACTCTTCTTTTCCAACAAACTGTCATGCCAGCAACTTCGAAAAGGAGTTGATCACGAATACCTCGATCCGTGAATATTTTCATGACTAGCTTGTCTAAATTATCTGCAATATGAAGAGAGCTAATTCAAAATCCTTTATAATCGTAATCATATGAATATCATTATTTTAAAAGTCACTACAACAGCAATGAAGACACAATAAAAATGTTTTAGCAATTTTTTTTTGGCATTTTTAGCATAATCATTTTAGCAATTTTTCAAGATAAATTTGTCAAAGAATTATCTTGCTGTTTATTAAAAAATTAATAAATTTTAAAAAAATTAATAAACGGCAAGACAGAAGATTACTGAGGAGAGTATGCATTGAAGTTACTTAGTTGTCATAAGTCCCTACTTTGGATTAGGGCAACAAATCATCTAACTGTATGCTGCTAACTACCGATAAGATACCTATTGCAGAAATTAAATCTAGACTGATAACACAGAACAGATTCTGTTCACATTTCGATTTTTTCGCTGCGGATACTTCCCGTTCAAATTTAGCTAACTGTTTCTCGAGCTCAGTTCGCTTCTGAAAAGCAAAACATAAACTTTCATTTGACTGCTAAAGTTTTTTAGAAGCAATTGATCCAACTTACTTAAGATCACCTTATTTTCATCCCTGTCGAATGGTCTATTTATCATTTCAATATGAAAGAAGTTGATTAAAGTGTCGAAAAGCACAGAATATCTTAAACACTATGATAAATACATTATAACAAATAAGAAGAATATAAGCAATATTCTGATATTTCTTTGTAGAATTAAAACTAAACTAACCTTTTTTTCTATCCTTTCTTGTTTCTTTTTTTCTCTTGCCTCTTCTTTTGCAGCCTTAATTATTCAAGATAAGTTGGCATACTAAGTTAACGTACTAAGTTCTACCACCCAGAGCTGTAGATCTAACATATGATATTCATGATTATTAGCTATTCATTAATCCATTAAACATCTTTAAAACAGCAAGTAGATTTATTATCAAATATTACATTAATTTGAGAAGTTAAAAGAGTCTATCGTAGCTTCATTTGTAGCTATGATTTCATACTGCTATAACAAATTTCAAGAAAAAAGATATTGCTTAAAATTTCAAACTTTCATAAAAACCAAACCAAATTTGACCAAGCCTATCCTTCCAACGGATCACTAAGGAGATTAACTATGATTAGGAATAACTACAAGACATAATTATGATTGAAAATTATGAAACATAACCCGTTCAGCGTTTATTTCATCTTTTGTTCTCTTCTTTCTCTTTCTCTCCATACATACACCATCAGAAACTGAGCGCGCTATACATATCGATGATCTTTTATCAGAAGAAGTTGAAGATGCTATGAATTTATTTGTGTTTAATTGGATTTCTTTGAGTATTGGCGACGATTGCACAGGTTGTGAGAACGATTCATTGCTGTACCAATTTGCGAAATCTTCGGATTCAGGTATTTCATCTGGTGCACATCGAGGTTTTTCATATGAATCATTAGATTCATTATCTGAAGAAACCAAATCTAGAAAAGCTTCATCATTCAATTCTAGTAGTGCTTGATTATGAATGTCATCATCAAGAAATCTCGAACTGGATGGCATCAGCTCTTCTTTAGCTTGTCCCTCATCATACTCGAGAATTTCGTCGTTCATATCTGAAGGAACCAAAGATAATCAGGAAAAAGCAAAAATACAAATCAGCCAACAAGGTTGAAAAGCTTTCCTTTAAAAAATAAATTTAAACAGATTAAAAAAAAAAAAAAAAAGATATCTAAAATCAAGAGTCCACGACAACTAGTATCTTTTAGAAACCAAAAAATGCACCAAAAATAGTCTAGACATAGAAGTAAATGCAATCCGAACAATATATAATGTAATAACTAAAACGTCAAAAAAGAACTACGATAAATAATGAAAGAGATTTGATTTGTAACGAAAATAAATTAGTCAAGTCTATACGAAGTGAGAAAATTGGTCTGAGTAAATAAAAATGAATGGAAATTGTAAATAATCATAGTAATACTAACACTTTTTTGGTATATTCGAGTCATTTAGTTGTCTTTCGAGTTCATTTCCATCTTCATCTTCACTTAACACTATTATACTTTTATCCATGCCAGCTGAAACGATAAGTAATCCTTATAATACTGTTAATCTAATAATTCATATAAACCATTGACGTAAGAAGAAGCCAATTAACGTGTATTTAAGTGTGTAATCATTAAAAAGAGAGAAAAGATAAATATTATAATATAAATTATTATCGATAATTTACGCATAATATTGACGTGACAGAGACTTAATTAATGAATCAACGGTGCATTTAGACGAATGCTAATATAACAGAGAGGGAGAGGGAGAGAGAGAGAGAGAGAGAGAGAGAGAGAGAGAAAACAAAAAAAGGGAGATTATGATTAAAGCATTGCTGGATGGTTTATGTAAAACGAGGATGGGAAGTCAATTCTAGCTAATATTGTCTTCACATGCATTAATATGACATGAAAAAACAGATAAGAAGACAAGAGCAAAGAGAGAAAAAAAGAGAGATGAAGAGAGAGATAGAAAGAGGGAGAGAGAAGAAAAGAAAGAAAAACGAAAATGCATAATTGGTGAACTCGGAGTCTGACATATTCATAAAGAGGAATGAACTTGTTTCTGTTGCAGCACTGTTTACGTTCCAAATGTCAATGTTGAATGTTTAAAATGATTAAATTTAAATTTAATTTAATTTGACTTCATTTGATTTGATGTAATTTGATTTAATTTAATTTGACATAATTTAATTTAATCTAATTTAATTAAATTTGCCTGATTAAATTAAATCGAATTAAATTTAATTCGATTTAATTTAGATTAAAATTTATTATAATCTTCCATTCTTTTTTTTTTCTTCTCCTTTTCTCCTTCTCTCTTTCTCTCTCCCTTATCTCTCTTTCTCTCTCCCTTAAATCTTCTTATAATATATCTGCAAAAAAAGATGAAAGCAGTTGCTGATTTGATGAATATTATTAAAATATTTGAAACTTTTTTATTATGCTATGTACTTATATTACATATAATATAAATTAATAAATAAAGGCTTAAAATAAATTAATTATTTTTGATTTCGATAAAAATTTTTCTTATTGATAATGATAAAAGTGAGAAAGGTAAGAGAATATTCTGATTTGTTCAATCTGAACTGCGTTGTTTCTTTCATTTCAGGAATGAATTAAAAAAAAACAAAATGGGAAATAGAAAATTTGTGATATTAGAAATGAAATATTTTTATTTGTAAACGCAATTAACTTTAATAGATTGCATTTGAGACAAAAAATGGACCAAATTAAAAAGAAAGAAACAATTCTATAATTATTAATTGATCAAGATGTGTTCTGTTTGAAATCAAAATGATTTCCAGAAATGATTAAATCTGTTTCACTTTATCAATTAATCAATCAGTCAGTCATATTGTTATCATTTTCTCACTTTTAATAATTTTCTACTTAATTGATAAGTCTGCAAAGAAGCGTTTAATTTTAAAGTTAAATTAATCAATTTAAGTAATAAACAAGGCTTGATTCCGTTCTTATCCTATTTGTTGAATAAATGAATAAATAATTCTTCGTGAAATATTTAGGATTAAAATGAATTGCAATTTGTACATAACATAATTTACATAAATATAATATTCTTTTTTAGCATAAAAGTAACTATTTTGCATTGCAAACATTCAGTGTTACATTCTCATTCATATGAAAAAAGGTTATTAAAACTGATTTCAAATGAGTTATTTTCAAAGAGCAAAATTTAACATTTCGAAAATTTCATTAATTAGTTAGAAATAAGATTAATGAATGATTAAATTTTAGGATTAATTAAAAGTTTATCCAAATAATAGCATAATTTCTTTCTTCCTTTTTTTTCTCGTCATTAATTTTTTCTACATCTATCTGTTAAGTTTATCTAATTTAGTTTATATAATCACATAAATTTTTAAAGGAGAGGAAAGGTTATTTATGATTATTTGGTTAATTAATTTATATCACAAATTAATTATTTAATTAGCAAAAGATGGAAATTAATTTCAGATGTTTTGGCATCAAAATCGCTATCTCACATCTTCACATATAATTATTGGACGAGCAGATTGGAAAACATCAAATTATGTCTCAACAACAAAATATAACATTATCACATTCATTCCTGTATTTTTATTTTATCAATTTAAAACATTTGGAAACTGGTTCTTTCTTATGATTTGTATCGTGCAGGTGGGTATAATGTTCCTATCTTATTTGTTTAGCATTTTATTGTATTAGCATTATTTTAATTGCTATTATTGCTAGTACTTAATGGAATAAAAATAAAGGAAAATTAAAAAAAAAAAGATATATTCTTGTAATTATTTTACATATATGTCAATTACTTATGTAATTATTAATTTATTTAATTATATTCTTTCTTCTTTATTTAGTTATATGTCTGATAAGTAATGATAAAATGATTTGCTTCAAATTAATCAAATAAAATATTCAATAAAACTTCTTACTGATATTTCTCGTTAACAAAATAAACAATATGAAAAATATTTTGTCCTTGCGATGATAGAAATATAAAATAAAATTTCTTGATATATAACATGAAAACTAAATCATTAATTTTATTTTTTTATTATTGAATATATTTTATTCGACTAATTCCATTCCTTTTTATTGTATGCATAATTTTTTCTATTGTACCAACATTCATTTATTTAGTCTTTTATGTTTATTTTTTGAAGCTATTGAAATCATATTACTTAATTATTTTCACCTTTTTTTTCCTTGACAAAATAAAAGTTAGAATTTATTTTTAGTTTTTTCCAAATTTAAATCCTTACGGTACGAATACAACTATTGTACCTCTTGTTATTATCATTCTAGCAGCGGCAGCAAAAGAAATTTTCGAAGATTTTGTAAGATTAATTGTATTAATTTTTTTTTGTTCTCCTTTATTTCTATCTTTAATATTACTGTAATGTCGCATTGATTATTAATATCTATTATATAATTTCATTACCAATTTGAAATTGTAAATTCGACGGAGTGAATTGATAATTATTTTATTTCTTTTTTTCTTTTTGCTATTCTTCTTTCAGATCTATTGATCCTTTCCTTCTCTTACAATTTTATTATTATTATTTTTTTTTTCCTTTGAAATTCAGTTAATTAATATGAATTTGTGTTATTTTTAAATTTTGACAATTAAAGGGACGTCTGGTAGCAGATCGTCGCGTAAATCGACAATTTGTGTTAATTTGTATACAAGATGAATATGCAAAAAAATGGAAATGGAAAAAGATTCATTGGGCTCAAGTTTAACTTCGCTCTTTAATTTTTGCTCATTTTAAAATTGTAAATTTTCATTAAGAAAAAAATTAAAGTAATTAATTAAATATAATATATTGAAATCGTTAGATTGCTATATAAAATTTCAGTTAAAAGTTGGCCAAGTAGTGAAAATTATGAAAAATGAATTTATCCCAGCAGATATTGTATTACTTTCATCAAGTGAACCAGCTGGTGTAGCATATATTGAAACAAGTAATTTGGATGGTGAAACAAATCTGAAAATTCGTCAAGCATTACCACAAATTGCTCAAATAATTGATGATGATGATAGAATTATGGTTGATTAATTTTATTATAATCATTTCATATCACATCATTATTTCTTTTTTTATCAAATTTTAAGATCAATTTTTTAATTTAATTTATCATAAAGTGCTGAATTTTGATAAATGAGAAATTTGATTTATTTTATTGAATTAGTTAAGTTAGTTAAATCGAATAAGATAAAAAAAATTACAAAAGATTTAAAATCAAAAATACTGTTAGCTATTAATAAGTTATTCATGCATGCTATTGTATTTTTATTATATCTGAGACTATTATTACTGTTATGTTATCTGCTATATTCGAATTTGCGCTTTGATGAAATTAAAACAAAAATTCAATAACTTTTTTAAATAAACTGTCTTTTAAATACTTTCATGTCATTTATAATTTCTGTTTACTACATCTTTTAAGACATTTTTTGTGTTTCTTCGAATTAATTTTTCACAATAAAAAAGAAAAAAAGACAAACTTTTTATTATAGGAATTTTGTTCATCGTTATCGAAGATAGAATGTGATCCGCCAAATCCAGCACTATATGAATTTCATGGTGTTATCAAAATTAACAATTCATCTGAAATATTAAAAAAGGGAAATGATGAAAATTCTAAAACGAATTGTTCCCTCGGTTTGTTATTTTATAACTAATTAGTTAGATTAATTAGTTAAATTAAGCAATGATGAATGATTTATTTATCTGATGAAATAATGTATTGAATAAAAAGAAATGAAACTTAAAAAAAATTGATCAGTTAGCTATAGATTAAATCAAATTTGTAATTGATCGTTTGTTACATTTTTTTATTGTTGTATTTATCAGCACAATGATCTTTGTTTGTTGTTATATTTATTTGTTCAGTGATCGTTGTTGCTATTTTTGTTTGGTTTTTGTTTATTGGTGCTGATGATTGATGTTGGTTGTTGTTGTTGTTGTTTGTTGTTGTTTGCTGTTGTTTGCTGTTGCTGGTGACGCTTGTGGTTGTTATTGTTGATACTGGTAATGCTGATGATGCTTTATTGTTCATTTTGTTACATCGGTGTTGTGGTTGATGTTGTTATTTGTTATTGTTTGTTGTTGTTGTTGTTTGTTGCTGATGTTAGTGGTGGCAGTAGTACAGCAATAATTGTTGTTGTTTATGTTATCGCACTATATCTACCACTTCGATGAATTACTCATTTATCAGGAAGAATGTGTTTTTTAATTCTTTTTGAAGTGTACTTAGCTTCAATTATAATATAATGACTATATAAATGAAATCCAAGAAAAGAATTAAATATTTTCAAATTGCTCAATTTACAGTTTGTATGCAACAGTTAAGTGCTATAAATTAAATGTTTGATACAAATTTGTACCACTCTAAAGATACATACGTTTTTTAATGAACGGATAGATAACTGAATGAGTGGAACAGTCGATTTGAATAAATAAATAAATAAATATTAGATAAGATAAACCATTTGGAAAAGGAAATATTCAAATGTTTAATTATGCTGGAAGATATCTTTCAATAATTGAAAAATTAACTAGGAAAAAGTTTTTTTTTTTTTTATTTGCATTTTTCTAAATAATTTTTATATCTAATTTCTTCCGGAATATTTATATATTATTCAACAATTTCGATTCTATGCTATTGTTTTTGGCTACTCTTAGTTCTCTAGTAAGAATTACAGTTAATTTACTCAGTCTTGAATTTTTTTTAAAAAATTAATTTATGATGAAAAAATTTGCAGGAACAAATCAACTATTGCCTCGTGGATGCAAGCTACAAAATACTGATTGGGTTTATGGTGTTACGGTATATACCGGTCGTTGCACAAAACTTGTACTGAATACAAGCGGTACTCGTACAAAAGTGTAAGCTTACTTTTCATTAGCTTTACAATTTAAAATTGTGAAATATTTTTATAATTTTAAACGGGATGATTCTCAATAAAAATAATATTTAAGCATGGATTTAAAAAACAATAATTTTATTTAACATAAAATTAAATCTCCGGAAAATATTTGTCTTACAATAATACGATTATTTAAATTATCCTTTAATCATTTATCATTTTTCAAATGCTTGTCATTGTTGCAATAATTTCACTTAAATCCGAATTAGTCTAAGTCACTACCATTATTAAATTTTTCAGATTTTTATACAAATTTATAAATATCGAAATTTAAAAATAAACATGCAGTACTGCTTAATATTAGCTAACTGTAATGAATAACAGTTAATTAATAGTTCAAATTTATTTGAAGTAAAACTTGCAAAGTAAATTTTACTTAAAATAAGCACTGTTTACTTGGAAAAAAATCAATTGGGAGATGTGATTAAAATTAATTTACAAATATATTTGATATATTTTTCACATTTCCGATTTTATCTTATACAACAATTTTGAATTTTCAATTGAACTGCCTCAGTCATTGTTAAATACTTGCTGTTACTCATTTCATCACTTTATTAACAGATTGAATTTCATCTTCTTTATCATATAATTAAGTTTATTGAATTAACTGGTACTTTTGCTTTTTTTTTTCAAATTTTGTCTTTTGCTCTTTTCTGTTTTTCTATTTATGACCAATTAATCATTTCAAATTTGAACAAAGTTTAATAAAAAACGAAAAAATTTTAGCAATTAGCTAGTTGAATTTGTTTAGACGAAGTAAGCTAAATCTCGAATGGTAATATTTAATTAAATTGTTTATTTCAAATGTTTTATTTACTATTTCAAATATTTATTAGCAAAACATATTCACTCTTTTATTTTTTTTTTTTTGGAGTTCATTAGTGGAACGAATAACCAATTGTATGATGATGATTCAGTTTGGATTCTTAGTTTTTATGGCATTATTTAACGCATGCATGGGTTGTAGTAGTATTAATAAAATGTATTATTATCTTCCATATTTCCATGGTATTTAATTTTTTTTTGGTTTATTAAATTTATTTTTATCAAAGTTAAAATTAGAATTAAAATTTGAATTTAAAATATTAAAAGAAAGAAAACAAAAAAAAAAGAGAACAAGAAATAATAGAAATAAAAATATGATATTTTGCAAATCATTATGTTAGGTTTTACTGATGATGTTATTAAATTATTTAATATTGATTTCATATACACATAAATTTAAATAATATTTACATTTTGATGATTGAATTTAGGTTTTTCATTTGTTAAGAAACAGAAAAAACAAGGGAGAGAGGAAAAGAGGAAAAAAGCGGAAATATTTTTGATGGAGAAATGATTTTATATATATTTATTTAAATTTAGGAAATTTTCGTCGTTTACACATCTTGCCAACACTTGTCGGTTTAATAATATTTTATTCTGGTTTAATACCGATCAGTTTGAATATTACACTTGAAATGATTCAATTATTCCAAGCTTATTTTATTCAACAAGTTTGTGCTATCATTAACAATTTATCTATTAAAAATGATTCGAAATGAATTTGAAACGGAATAATTATTGCTGTAATATCTTTCAGGATTTAAATCTTTATGATAAGAATTCTGATATAAAAGCTGAAGTGCGAAGTTCAAATTTAAATTCACAACTTGGACAAGTTTGTTTTTGTAAAAAAAAAAGAAAAAAAAATGGATTTGTTTGTTTGATCTAATAACTAAATTATGGTATTATTATTTTCACATTATTAAATTATTTTTAATTTTTCTAATTCTTCTTTATATTTATCGAATTATTCAACTATGCGCATATATTATTTGATATGTTTAAGGTACGTTATATTATCAGTGATAAGACAGGTACATTAACACAAAATAAGATGCGCTTTAAAATGTGTACCATTGGTGGTATTAAATATGGTTCAATGATGACAGAGAAATTTACTGATGAAGCAATTCTTGATGATTTAATCAATAATGCTGTTAGTAATTATCAAATAATCTCTTTTAATAATCACTAAAAATCTTTTCTTTTCTTTTTAACTATTCAATGATTTACAAATCTTTTAATTATAAAGTAAAAATATCTCAATTAACTTCCAAAGCTATCTGTTTTGTGTAATTTTTAATATAAACTCATTTTTTATTCCTGTGATTTAAAAAAATTTTCATGTATATCGTATTTAAAGAAGAAAAATGCATTTTCAAATTTTAGAAATTTTTCAAACTGTTATTCTAGAAATTGAAATCATTTCAAAAATTTAAATCCTTTTTTTTAAAGGGTAATGCTAAATCCATACGTGATTTTTTAACGTTATTAGCAATTTGTCATATGGTTGTTCCGGAAAAAGTTATAAATTCGGAATTAGAAAAAATAATTTATCATTCACCATCACCGGGTATTGAATTTTTTGTAACTTAATTTCTGCTATAGATTGATTGTTTCTCTTTCATATCTTTTTTTTTTTTTTACTAAGGACAGAAATTTTCCATTTCCACTTGAGAAAACATAATTTTAACTTTATAAAGTATATTGCTCTATAAAAAAAAAAACGAAAGACAAAAAAATATCGCAGAATTAATAATTGATAATTGAAGTTTTACTATTTGATCTTCCTCTAGTGGAAACATAAAAATGAAAAAAATTTAGACAAAAGAATATAATCAAATTTAAGAACTAAAGGATGCAACTTCTCCGATACTAAGTTTAGAAATAAAATGGTGGAATTTAAGTATTAACTTTAGAAAAAAAAACTTAAATTTTCTGAACAGTAAAGTTGGGAAGAAAAATGAAATTTTCTGGATAGTAAATTTAAAGTAAAAAAATCGAATTTTCCGGGTAGCATTTACTAAAGAAATGGAATTTCCGGTATAATTCGTAATAAATTTTCAGATGAAAAAGCATTAGTTAAAGGTGCAAAAGATCTCAAATTTATCTTTCATACACGAACACCACAATGTGTTTATATTGAAGCTGTAACTATTCCTTTTTTTTTTCAATTTGAAAATTTTAATTTATATAAATTTTAAAAATTTTATTAATAAAATTTTGTTAGTTATTGAAATTTTTTTTTGTTAATAGATGGGTAAGCAAGAGAAGTATGATATATTACATATATTAGAATTTACAAGTAATCGAAAACGAATGGGTGTTATTGTACGATGTCCAGATAGGAAGTTAAAATTATACATTAAAGGAGCTGTAAGTTAAATTATTAAATGTTTAATTTTTAATTATTCATTTCTTTCTTCAATTTACATTACATTTTTATTTGCTCATTTTAGGATAATAATTAAATTTTAGGATAGCGTTATTTTTCCACGATTAGCGCTAAATTCTGATAAATATTCAGTTAACAAAACAGCAGAACATTTGGTATATTTTGCTAATCTTGGTTTGTCTTTCCTGTCTCTCTCTCTCCCTCTCATAAATTATTATATTTTAGAATTATTTCCATTTAAATAATTTGTAATATTAAATTAAAACTTTAAATTTAAACAAAAAAAAAAGTGAAATTTAGGTTTACGTACGTTATGCATGGCAATGTGTATTCTTAGTGAAGAAGAATATGAGAAATGGGAGCCTGGTTATCATCGCGCAAGTACTGCGCTTGAAAAACGTGAAATGCTGATTGAAGAGGAAGCGGAAAAAATTGAAAAAGTTACAATGCAATAAGTCTAAATTCCGAAGAATTTAATTTAGCTAATTAGTTATTTTGAATAACTAATTAGCTAATTTAACTAATTGTGAATTTATATGATAATAAAATTGAAAAAAATTTGCTCAAATGTAACAATTTTCATTTTTGCTTGCAATAACTTTATAAATTGCAGAATCTTGAATTACTTGGTGCATCAGCTATTGAAGATAAGTTACAGAAGGTATAGTGATAAATTCATTTTTAAACAACTCTTTTTTTTTTTTTGATAACAGTTATAATTAAAATGAAATTTATAAATCATTTTTGTAAATTCTACAAGAGGCGAAGAATGTCAGAAAAAAGACTTATTGATTAATTAATTTTTTTTATGACGTAATTTTGTTGAAATATATAAATTGATTAACAATTTATTTACATTTGTATATTTTGATGAAAAGAGTTAGCATCAAATACACTGATTTTAAAAAAAAGAAAAATGATAGTATAATGGATTTTTAATGAAGTAATTAGAAATCTAAAATGATTAAATTTAGAAAATATCAGGAAGACAATTGCAGGGTGTCAAGAAAACAGTCGAACATTTGATTGAAGGTGGTATTATAGTTTGGGTTTTAACAGGTGATAAATTAGAAACAGCACAAAGTATTGGCTATTCATGTGGTTTAATTGATCCATTCACACCCATTCTGGTATATTTCGAGTTATTTAATTTTATTTTAATGTTGAAAATTTTATTCTCAACAAAAATTGTAAATAAATTTAATAAGTTTAAGTGAATTCAAATTGTAAATAAACTATTGATAAATGAACGAATGAAATTTTTTCACTTACAAATTTATCATATGAAATTAATATTATTATTTAAGCAAAAAAAAAGATTAAATTATTATTTAAATATTACAAAGAGCAATTCAATTTGATTATTTAGGTACTTGGCGAAAGAAATGCCGAAGAAACAGCTAACAAAATTAACATATATCTTGAGAATTTTGCAAATAAAAAAATTAAAACTTCATTAATTGTTAGCGGCGAGGTTTGTTACGATGTAAAAATTATTCAATTTAAAAAATACAAAAATGAAATTTTTTTCTTCATTTATTCTATTCAATTTTTTATTTGATTTTTTTTTTTTTTTAAATTTTTGCTACTTAATTTTTTGACATACATTATGATTTATGGTAGAAAAGTAGGATGAAAATAAGGATAAAAATAAAGAATTTTAAAAAATTTCAAAAAAAAAAGCGTATACAATTAAAATCATTTCAGTTTGAAATGAAAAAAATAATAATTTCAACTATTTAATGAATTACAGAGTCTTAATCATGCTTTAATGAAGCAATATAAAATGCAATTTTTACACCTGGCTTCTTTATCATCAACGGTTATTTGTTGTCGTTGTTCACCGGCGCAAAAGGCCTCTGTTGTAAAAGCATTAAAAAATTGGTCCGATGGTACGGTACTAGCAATTGGCGATGGTGCTAATGATGTAGCAATGATACAGGTGAATAATTAACAATTAGTTTTTTAATATGACATAAGCATGCAGAGAAATTTATGAAAATTTTTCAAAATTTATTCTAATCAATAAAATATTAATAATGAAATTATTTAAAAGTTTATAAAATTTTTTTTATGTTTTTTTTTTCTTATTTTACTTTATTTGTAGTAGTATTTTTATTGTAGGAAGCTGATATTGGTGTTGGAATAAGTGGTGAAGAAGGTTTGCAAGCATCACTTGCAGCTGATTACTCTATTGCACAGGTTTCTCGTGTTTGCTTTTTATCATGATTATCTATCTTTACCATAATTATCCATCGTAATCAATTGTTATTAACTATAACAGTTTGATATGATGATATTTCAAAAATATATTATAAAAATTTTCATATGTTTGAAATTTTTTCTTTAAAAAAAAGATAATAATAATTGCTTATTTTTGAAATTTAGACTAACTGAATTAATTAATAGCCCTATTACTTTTACTAAATAATTTTAGTAAATGATTTTTTTTCTTTACTAAATTTTACTAAACAATTTTTTACTACCTAAAAAAATTTCTTTTAGGTTAAGAAATGAAATAAAACTTTACAATCCAAATTGTGCTTTTGCATTTTTAGTTTCGATTTCTGGAACGTCTTATATTTGTTCATGGAGCTATTAATTATCATCGTATCACAAAAACTATTTTATACTTTTTTTACAAAAATATTGTTCAAACTCTAACAATGGTGAAGTGTTCATTGCATTAGTAATAAATAAGTAATAAAATTTTTAATGGTAATTAAAAATTCTGCTATTTTTACTAAGTGATAGAGTTGTTTTTGGTAGTAATTGATTAATTTATTAAAGTTTTGCAGTTCTTTTATGAATTTCATACATTATTTGCTGATTCGGCAATAATGGATAGTTGGTCGCTGGTAATGTTTAATATATTTTTTACTAGTTGGCCACCATTGGCAATTGGTATTTGGGATCGATTATTCCCATTTGAAGTGATGATCGATTATCCAGCACTTTATCATTTATCACAGAATAGTGAAGGATTTTCGCTTAAAGTATAACTTTTTGATTCAAAATTTCAATTTTTCTTTCAATTTCTTTTTTAAATTTTTGAAATTTCATTCTTGATTTTTACTGAGATTTTTAGAATTACTGGAAAATCTAATATCATTCACATACTCAGATAGCTTTGTCAAACTTTTCACTAATTTATGTAAGTACTTAAAAAGTTTATCTGACAATTATATATGCTTAATATTCATTTTAGGCTTATTTTATCTGGGCATTCACTGGCTTAGTGCATGCTACAGTAATTTCTTTGATTGCATATCAAACATTTAAAAATGGTAAGAATTGAAAATTTATTAGTGTTTTTCCAATTTTTTTTTTTATTTTTTTGATAACTTTTTTTTTGAACCTTCAAAATTTATTTAATTATTAAATTATTGAATTAGTGTAAATTATGACAAATAAATAGAAATTTATTATAGATGTCATATGGTATAATGGTCGCGTGGCCAATTATTACGTCATGGGAACCGTTATTAACATTGTATCTTTAGAAAATTTATTTTTAATCAAATAGAATGAATATTTATAAATTTAAAATTGCAGTTTCTTTTTTGAATTACATTGATAGAATTCTAATTCATCAGCAAAAAAATTTGGATTTAATTGTTTCAAATTGATTTAAATTTAAGTAACAGTGATTTGCAATTTATTATTTATTAATAAATTGCTTTTTTATTATTATCAAATTGTTGCAAAGATAGCAAAGAATGATCAAAAAGTGATCAAAAAAAAAAATAGAAAAAAATGAATTAAACTTTTAGGCTGTTGTACTAATCGTCAATTTAAAAGCTATTATTGAAACTGACTCTATCACCATTGTAAATTTAAATTTCTTTTGATAAGTATTTCACTTTATTTGAATTATTTTTAAAGAAATTTCATTGCTTTGATTGATAATAATCCAAAAATTAATAATTTTTTTGCATAAATTTCTTTCTTTTCTTTTTTTTTTTTAGTTAACTGATTTCCAAATTATAAATGGAAGTAATAAAAAGAAAAAAAGAAGAAAATTTACCGTATTTAATTTTAAAACTTTATAATTCTGTAAAGAAATCTTAAAAATCCATAATTTTATATATGATTTTTAAAGTTTTCTAATTATTTAAAGAGCACTTACCTATCATTAGCAATTTTACTTTGCTCATTTCTAATTATTCTCATTTATAGATGTCATGGATAGCCCTATTTGGTTCAATCATTATGCTATTCATTTTCTTTTTTTCCTACAGTTTAACATCACCTGCTAGTCCAATTATTAAAGTTCAACCAGCCATGGCTGATACTATACTTCATGTACTGACTTCACCTGTCACATATTCATATATTATATTTGTCACATCAGTATCTCTATCATTCGATCTAATTGTTAAATTGTATGTTTTTTTTTCTTTTAAATATTACTTATATCTCATATAAATTAAAATATTTTGTTTTCAATTTTCAACTATTGACATAAACTTTTTTCATTCATTCATTCATTCACAGTAAATTACTTTTATTTACTTAATTTCATAGATCAAACTATTCATTAACTTGAAATCTCTCAAGCTTTACATTTGTTCTATGAAAATTTCCAAAAAAAGAAAACGGTAACAAAATCAGATGACACATTTGATGATTAAAAAAAAATTTTAATTACAAAATATATGAACAAAATCAATAAATAATTTGCGGAATGACAAAAAAAAAAAAAAAATTAAAAATAAGGGGACGAGTATTATAAATACATGAAGGAAATTTTCCAATTAAACTTTTATTTTTATATAAAATGAATAATTCTTATATATATATAAATACAACAAGATTGATATAATTGAATAATTCAAAAGAAAAGAAAAACAAAAGCACTATAATATTACTTTCAGATTACAAAGATCATTGTATCGAACAATTAGAGACGAAGTCGTTTCACGAGAATTTGATGTGAAACAATTCAATGATCTCTATTATCCACTTGTTAAAGTAAAACAAATTGTTACTAAAGCGTCTGAATCAGCTTTGAGCCTTGTCAATATACAAACAAAACAACGTTAGTTGTTTCTATTTCCATTAAAATTTCAAAAATACTTTTTTGTTTTTGACTTTTTATTAATATTTAAATTTATAAAATTGTTACTAAAGCATCTGATACCTTAATATTTTGAATTTAATTCCCTTTTAGTTTATACATTTATCACTTTGAATTAACACAAAATTGTTTCATTTTCATCTTTTTTTTCCGTTTTTTAATAAATTTTTGTTGATAAAATTTGGATACAGGTTTTAAAAAATTTTCATATTTCTATTATACTTTATCCATTCATATGTAAGCAGTAGTTTTCCTTTTTCTATGTTAATTGCTGATTTGTTTTTTATTGTATTTGGAAAAATTTGACATTATGTTAGTTAGATAATTTTATGCAAAGAAAAATTGGAAAGTATTAGTTAATTTAAAAAACGAATGGTTTAAATCAAAATTTTAATCTGTAAGAAGATTATTTTCAAAAGATTTCTTTTTTTTTTTTTGTTTTCTTTTAGGTGGCTATTCATTTGCTCAAGAAGATGAACCAGCTATATCACAAAGTGATGTTGTACGATTGTATGATTCTCGAATGCCAAAGATTTCTAAAAACCGATGAAGCATAGCTTATCGAGAAAGATGAATCTAAATTTAAATTTATGAATAACTTTACAATGACTAATATATTCATTAGACGGTATTTTCTGATGTTCGCTGTATGATAAAGCCGGAAATCTTAATATGATCATCTCTAGTAGAATCGTTTTAAATCATGCAAAGTGTTAAAATGGAAGCAAATTACTTAAATCTCAAACTTTTAATAAATTTTGTTTTAAATAAATTTTCAAGTGGATTATTACAACCTTACCCTTTGTCAAATATTCAGAAATATTCCCAAAAATAAACAGTCTAAGCAAATGAGTTTAAATTATTTAAATAGAATTTTTAAAAATTTTGAATTCAATACCAATTTAATTTCAATTTATACTTTCCAGCTAAAATTTCAATTCAACTAACAATTGTTGACTTCATTCATTTTCTCTTTTTTTCCACATTTCAAAAATCAAATTGAAAAATCTGAGAATTCATTCACCGTCATTTATTTTCAGTTTTCTAGGCAACTTTTATTTTATCTCAAAATTGCTTATTAAAAAAAAAAAAGAAAATATTGTTCGAAACATTACATCGATGTATGCATATTGCAGGAATTTAATGTCAGCTAGCCAATATCGATTATTAATTTGTTTTCTTCCCGTCTCTCCTTTTTCTTTTTTTGTTATCTTAGATATTATTTTTGTTTCAAATGAAATTCCTATTTTAAGACAAAACATTTTCCAATGCTTTTGATTTGATAGTCGAGAATAGATAATAAGCAAAGGATTTGCTTGTATTTTTACTAGGCACATTTAATTTCAGTTGGAAATGCATATATCATATTTCCATCAATGGTTTCATTCACAGTGAATTTACCAATGTATCATTTTATAGAACTTTATTCATTAGCATGACAATTCAACAAATAACTCAATTAATGAGGTAATTAATTAACAATTTCATTTCATCATACCACGTATGTATATCATCAAAAATAATAATCTTGCATAAATATTATCAACTACCCCATGCAATGGAAATGTCGTGAAGTGAAGAGACGTATATCACGTTATAAAAGCAAACTGTGTGCGCAAAACGTCGTGTAACCTAACAATTAAGCATACACATGATATACGTTAACTAAACAATGTCTGCGTGACATGCATTTCTTGTGTCTGTAAAATTAAGCTGCAAATGCTAGACGAATACTCACAACGATTACTTGCTCCTGATATATTTAATTTGGCTCAAATTAGCATTTCAGAAAAAAGTGCGATGGGTTGTGTTTTTTCTCCCTTTTTTTTCTCGTTATGGTTTGGGAATTGTGTTCATTGTTACGCACACACACACACACAGAGAGAGAGAGAGGGAGAGGGAGAGAAAGAGAGAGAGAAGAGGGAGAGAAAATGGTTGGCGCATATGTGCTGCGGTAATGTCCTAAGTTCTGATGTAAATTTTAAAGCTTTATTTTATTGGTAAAAATTCATTTAACTACATTAAATTGCCCTTTTTTTTTGTCATTTCATGTTTTTTTTTTTTTTTTATTTCTATAGTGTTTTTGAACAATTTATGATAAAAAAATGTTAATAATGTTTATCGTTTCAGTATGAAATTTAAATTTTTCGGAATTTATCCTTTTTTTCTTTAAGTGAAAAATATTTTTTTTTGCTTATTTTCGATTGCTGAAATTGTCGGAACTTCAAAAATTGAATTGTTCGATGACCGGTGAACAGTTGTTGTCATCTCATTTTAACGATGTTTCATCACCATCATCTGTGCTGGAGAAACAGTATGTTCATGTTCTTATATGCTCTGTACTTATGTAGAATACATCATGAAAAGATTTCCGCTTCGATGATTAATCCACTGATTTTTCTAGTGGAACAGATTTTCGGAATCTTTTTGAAATATTTGCTTAACTAAATAAGTAATACGGATATTAATGAGAATAATTTGACAAAAGGAAGCATTTCTTTCCGGATTAGATATCCTATGGTGAGCAAGTCTTTCATAATAATGCAGTAGTATTAATGAAATTTAAATTTGCAGTGTACTAACTGGGTCTGATGCAGTTGTTCAGTTTTCTGGTGGCACACATATTGTGCTAAACGTGGATGGACAGACAGATAAGCGACCTCGTGATCGTGATTCGTCACGTGTTTATACTCGCGTTCTTAGTGAATATAAATGGGCAAGCGAAGAATGTTACAATGGCCGAATATTGGCAGTTCATAAAAATTTGATTGCTTATCGACTGTTTAATGAAAGTACAGGCGAAGCAGTTCGAGTCCTAGAGCATACCACTTCAAAACGTCACCTTATAAAAGTAAGATTTTTGCTGATTCAGTGGAAAAAATAAAAATATGAAATTCCATTATTCAAAAAAATTTTCCGTTTGATAGGAAAAATAGGGAAAAGTATTGAAAAGGATTTCGGAAGTGAAATAAGGGAAGAAATTTTAATATGAATTCCGTAAAAAATTGCTTTCATAAAAAATTGTCCTTTATAATTATTAAGATGATTTATATATTATAACTTTCCTTATCTGCAGTATCAAGACATATAATTCGTTTGATTCAACGTGTCTTTTGATTTACGTCTTTTTTTTTTGAATGATTAAATGCAAAGCACAATCCATAAAGGAAGTCGCTTTCTTTGCCAAATATGAATTTTTTGATTGCTAAATCAGTAAGTTGTAACAAGCCGCTGAATTTATTAATAAACTTAATAGGATTTAAGAACAACAAGAGAACATTTCTGAAGTGCAGTTCCATCAAGCAATGACCAAGCAGTTGTAGTTGGTATTCTAAGAAAATAGTTATTAGTAGTTAGCTTTTTTTCAGAGTTTCAAGCACCCAACTGCCGATTTACAATGGGCTCATCATGCGCCATTACTTGCTGTTATTGATGTTAATGCTAATCTTTATGCATACCATGTTGACAAGGACTGTATCGTGTAAGTAGAAAATATTTGACAAATGGAAAAATTTAAAAAACGCATTAAGATTTTATTTTGTTATTTTAACTCATAAAGCTGTTGTTGTTGAAGCCCAAAATGTAGTTCATGTGAAGATTTTTTTCTGAAATCTGATTTCAATACAAATAAAAGCGGTTTTTAGAACAAAATATTTGAACATAATCCGAGAAGATAATTCTATTTCAATTAATGCTACTCCGCGAATTTCATGGTGTCCATATATACCGGAAGCTGATGAACCACATGAGGAAATGCACATGATCGCTGTCTATTACGTAAGTTTGATTCCATCAGTTCTTTTGGCTAGCAATTTAAACTAATTAGTAAATGATAGATTAATGATTTTTCTCTAATCTTGCCAATAGTGCGAAAACCAAGATTAACCAAAAGTTTTTAGTATGGTTTCAGTCATATTGGTAACCCGGAAATCATAACAGCAGCAAATGAATCTGAGAAGGGAAAGATGATTCAGAAGTTGATCCGCTATTCATTCCTTTTTTCATAATTTGGATATCTTAATTTTAACTTAATACGTGGGTGAGTGAAATCTGTATCATCCTTCTGCAGAAAATATTTTGCAGCGCAATACGGTGGAATCATTTTCATTAAGTATAATCAAAGCAGAATTACACTGTGAAGAAGTGACTTTGGAACAATGCGAAAAAATTAGTGATGCTGTTATGAAATTGCCAATTGATAATCCTAGCGCTGTAAATCCTTCATTCATTTCTTTTTTTTACATTAATGAATTTTTCTTTATGGTTAATCACAACAGTTCTGCTCTCCACAACTTCACATAATCGCTCTATTTAGGAAGTGCAAGCAGTGTGTTTGAGTCCAGATGCAACAGCTATTGCAGTAGCACTTAATTGTGGCACTGTAACGTTTTTTATTATCGATGGTGAAGGCACGAAGTTTGCTCATCGCTGGCAACCGGAACATGGTAGACATATTCAGGATCTTGTCTTCCTGGATAACATTACTGCATCGGACACACCGTACATTTTCATTTTCTTTTGGCTTATATTTCACTTTCCTTAGATACTTTAGACTGGTAAAAGTATTGCTAAGGTTATTAGATTTATTGCATTTTTGATGCTTAACTGTAAACTTTTTTCAACACTTGTTCCACAGTATTCTAGTCAATGCTGTAAGTCAGTTTATGAGTGCATATAGTAACCACAGCAACATAATCTATAGATTTCTAATTTTATTAAATTTTCATTTGACTTCAGTGAACAGTTCTGGAAATATGCTATAATTTCAACGGAAAATGGTAAACGTATCCAACTTTATGACACGGAAAACTGGCACTGTATTGCTCGTTTATTATTTGAACCATTAGATCAATTAGGTAAACTGGCACTGAGTGTACATCCATCAGCAAAATTTATATTCCTCACTGATTACTATGCTGCAGTTCGTTTTTTTTTTTTTTTTTTTTTTTAAAAGATTTTAATGGCATTTTAAAAATATCAATCACCTATCTAGTTAGCCGTGTCCATTATTATTTGATATATACTGACATATAAGATGTCAAGTTCCATTCATTCACCGTACCATCGTATATTTTCTGGAAGGTTTGCATTTTATGCGTTAAAAGCGGACATGAATTCGGATTGGTTGAAATTGTTTAATCGATCCAGGAAAACTTGGAAGCACTTATTGATGGAGAATCCGATTTTATTTTTTATATCGTATCTTTTCTTTGCTTAGTTTATTTATTTTTTTTTTTTTTTAGTTTGCTTTCGATTACATCTAATCATTAAATGTTGGATTTTTGGTCAAAAAAATTTATCTTTTGCAGAATATTTATTGCATCGAAATTGCTTATATTATGAATGCACCACGCTTTGTTGCATGTACAGAAATTACTTTCTGTCATCCGCTTGTTAATGTTGTTCCAATATCAGTTCTTCAGCAAGAAGATGCTCATCAGGGTTAGCATTTGTAAGAAAATTGACGAAATAAGGAAAGATGAATTCGTAGTAATGGTTAGGAAGGAACGATACCGCAGAAAGTGGTAGATAAGTAGAGGACTAGTTCTTAATATTACATTGAGGACACGAGAGTAAGTCAGGTACGTGTTTACGATCATTCCACCCAGATTTCAGTATGAGAGACTATATTCTCTATATTTAAAGCTATGCTTTTTACAATACATTGTGGAAAAAAAATGAATTATATATTCCGGAAATTTCTGCCGTGCTAGGAATTCTAAACTTTTGGCGAAACTCCGGTCTTTTTTTTTCTTTAATTTTTGATTTTTATTATAGATTTCTCTCTTAGTGATGACGAAGTTTCTCCTGCTGATGTTCTCGTTTCATTTGTGGCTTTGTCTCAACGATCACTACTTCATTTGGAAGTTGGTCTAGAAAAGTCTCACTTGACGAATGGTGATGCTGGCGGTGGAGGTGGTGATGAAAACAACGACGAGCAAATAATTTCAACTTTAAATGTAGATGTTGAAGATGATGGGTATCTTTTATACCTTGAAGCTTAGTATTCTTTTTTTTTTTTTAATTTCGAGTTGTAATGAATTTTTGCAACTTTATTTTTGAGCTAATAGTTCTCTTTTGACTCTTCTCAATGAATCATAAGCAGATGTACTACAATGGTCTTTTCGTTCGATTAACTATGTTGGCTTCCTTTCAGTCTGATCTTCATGTTCTTGTGCAGTTCATGATCATATAGAATCTCTAGAAAAAGCTCTTCAAGGTTTTGTATTTCAGAAACAGTGTAGCAAATGGTGATAAAAGACAGCAGAAATCGGAAAATCTGGATCGTTTGGATGCTTTATATCGCCACTGGGAAAGTCTAAGTCTAAATTTTGAAAAACAAGCGGAAAATTTTGAAAAACGGTTGAAAGAGGAAAGAGATCGAACAGATGCCGAAATGCGGCAGTTACGTAAGTATTACTATTTCAAATCATTCATACTGAAATTTCTATTTCTATTTTTCTCTCTCTCTCTCTTTTTGTCTTTCCCTCTCCCCTAGAAATCCATAGTTCAAAAATCTCTTTTAAATCATGCATATTTATTAATGCTTCACTGCGATCAGTTACTCAAAATGATTGTTATGATAAATTATTTCTATAAATTGAAGATGAACGGTTGCCAGCTCGCTTTTTTCAATTTTTTTTTTTGACATCGAAGCATTAAATTTTGAACCAATCAACTGATGAAATGTACGCTACAGTTCTGTAGCATATTCACTGTAGCATGTTCACTGTATGCTACAGAATAGTGGAATCACTTATTGCTCTTTTGGCGACATAATTGACGATAATGCATTAGATAGGATCATTTTTGAAGAAATTATTTCCGTTATCTTTCCAAAAATTGGCGATATAAGGAAGTGAAAAGAGCTTCGCTGGTCAAAAAGTTGTTAGACTGTAAATGTGTAATATTGGATATAATTTCATCATTTTAATTAAGATTGTTTAACTTATTAATGTTGCTGTTATTAATATTATTGCCATTACTACTGGTATGATAACACAACACTGTTTCCAAAGTACTAGAGATGAGCTTTCTGATTGAAGGAAGAGAAGGAGTATAAATCTTAAGAATTTTATTTTAATTTTGGTTTTCACTTACCTCATTTACTCTGCCATGCATTTTTTGAAGAGGGTTAAACGAATCTCTTTGTAATAGATTCAATTCCTCCTAATTTTTTAAATTCAATTTCGTTTGATTTGTTGACCATACTAGCAACTTTTCCCGTCCAAAAGGAAAAGATTAGGTGGCGAAAAATGCGATGAATGTAGGTGATCTGGGTAAAATGTTCTGTTGATTCATGAAAAATATTTTGAATTATTTTGTGCCTAACATCTCACAATTAATATTTGTTTGATTTTGCTTAGGTGAAGATATCGTGTCTTGTGATGAGAGACTGTTTCTGAAGCTAGAATCTTTGATCAACGAAAACAGGACATCAACAGTAGAAGCAATGCAAACCTCTCTCGATCTTAAAATGGATAGTGTTATTCAGAATCTTCGATCAAAAACTGCCGATAATTTTAAGGTTGGGTTTTATAGTTCTGTTAAATTTGTAAAACATCTGGGCTTTTGATAAAAAAAAAGGAAAAATTTTTTTCGAATGCCATTTAAACTCGTTTTATAAATTTTCAAGCTTTCATAAAAACCAGTGAATAATATTTATCTCAGCAACAGCAAACTATGGATTTACACGTCGTTCGTGATGAACTTGCTAGCAATATACGAGAAGTACTGATGACTTCGTTGATACCGATTTTACAAGATGTGTGTGTGTCGCTATTTCAACAGCTTAATGAAAACTTTCGTACTGGTTTGGAACAATATATGAAGCAAATACACACACTCTGTACCAATGCTTTAAGAACAAATCAAACAGTTCCTGATTCAATGATGACGAATAATTCGTCTTCTGCCGATCCATCAGCTCTTATGAATCTTATTGAAAATCAACGTATCACTATAGCATTTGAAAAGGTTATTTTAAATTTCCTCCCTAAACAATGATATTCACTTCCTGATACTAATTTTTGCATATATATAATATATTATTGGCCTAAAATAGTTACGTAGTAGCATGTAGCATGAGCCAAAAGTCTTAATCATTTATCTGTATCCACTATAATTTATCACAATATGGATCATTTGTTAAATTCACAAACCACTCATGATCTTTGAAATGTATTGGATGCCAAAAAATAGATTGATTTTTGGCTTCTGTAAACCTCGTTCTTTTAAAAGCCATCTAATTTCTTTCATCTATTTCCAGAAATTCTTTTAATTGTTTAACTCTTTATATTCTTTATTTTTTCAAATTTTCAGAAACTTTTTTTTAAGGCATTGGTGTTAAAAGATTTTGGAGCTCTAATGTTTGTTTGCAACAATGTTGATCCAGATATAATTACCAGTGTCGAGCAGCCTATTCCGCAAAATATTTTGTTATGTCTGTTGAATCAACTGGCAACAAAACTGGACGGAGAAACGGATCTCAAATTTAGGTGTGGCATTTGTTTTTTCATATAAGAGATCCTCGCTTATTTTTCGTGCTAGGAAAATAGAACTCAAAGTCGGACATGCGATTAATTTCCAATACTTTATTTGTTTCTTCAATAAAGTTTGATCTTTAGTTATTTGTTAAACGATTAAAATCATGAGAAATGTACTCACAGCATTAATTTGCCAATTCCATAGTTACGATTTGATTTTTTCCAAACTCTTACAGGTATATCGAAAATGTGTTAATGGTATTACAAGTAAGGGATCCTACCATTGCTGGTAGCTACCGCCATGTTTTAAATCGATTACAAACATCTTTAACAGGTAAAGCAGGAGAATAATGCGTTGGTATTATTTGCTATATAAGAAGTTAGCAAATGTGCATGGTGAATATTGTGCATTATAACATAAGGATCATAACTTTATAAAAAAAAAAAGAAAAAACTTTATTAAAAAATTCGTCTTATTTTGGTTTGGAGCGCCTTATTCCTTTCAAATGAGACAAGTAAATTAGGTTGAATAAACTAATTTGAATTACCTAATCAGAACACTTGGATGAAATATTACTCTGACATTTTGCAAGTTTAGACTGAATTTTTTTATTGGTTTAATTCATTTCCAGCATATATGGGAACAGATACAAGTGCAAATTTGAAGAGACGAGCACGAATAATATCACAGTTAGCAACGAACTTACTAAAGTGAACTAAGTTTCTGTAGTGGCTCTATTTGCAGCAGAAGATATGCAGACTAAATATAAATTTGTATAAATCTTGTCAGGTTTTGTAATTTCTATGTCATATTTTATTTTGTTCTAAAAACAGTAATGATATGTCAAAAATATCACTGTGACAAAGCAGTCCTGATCTATTGCTTTCGTTCTGGCTTTCCAAGTTAAGCGTTGTATTTCCGTAAATAGGATTCTCTCATTCTCCTACATAAAGTTTATATATTTTTTGGGATAGTATGCGGGTTGAGATCCAGTCGGCCAAAAAATGTGTTAATTAACAATATGCTTGCCGGTTAAGTTTGAAACAATTTTTGTTATCATCGAAAGAATATTTTGAAAGACATTTTTTAATTGAAAGACAATAATTGAATGTCTCAAAAAATATATTTTATGTATGATGTTTTTACAGTTTGTATAAAAGATAGGCAAAAATTTATGTGTGATTTCACTTTATTATATACTGAGAAAGTTTGGTGCAGCAGAGAAACAGAAAGTCAAGAAAGCATCAAATAGAGAATACCCTTTCTAAATTATGATCCCACTTCAGTCTTTGTGGTTTATACAAACTAAGTTTGGTAACCTAACTCTCAGACTCCATGAGAAGTATGCTATGGAAGTTATGACAAGCATATATATGTATATAATACATGTGTAAAGCGACATACTGAAATACTCTGCTGGAGAGATGCGACCAAAGCTCATAAAATTTCGAGGGTATGACTGTCGCTTTATAGGACACCTGTTCGAGTATTAATGACAAATTGTATCTCTTGAGAAGTAATCTTGAGAAATATATCTCCTAATCGTAGATAAAGTGAAGAAATTGCTAGGCAAAGACATATACATTTAGGTACAAAATCATGACAAATCAATCACACAGGCATTGGTCGGGCACGGAACTGAACTTTTTTACGAATCACAGCAGTAATTTGTGCAATTCCTTGGTTTTCAGCATCTCGTGCAAGTACAAGCAGCGGATTTTGAAGTTTCACTTCTTTCCCTTCAATAATGTGATGACCAATATGAAGTAAAGCCTGGAAAAGAAAAATATTCACTTTTTTTTTTTTATTTTACTTAAGTTGTAAGTGTTTAAGTCATGAATGTAAATGTACCATTATAGCTTTTTTTTTTTCAACGATACAAAATCTGGTAGTGATTGTATAAAATTTTATACAACTTTGAATGTAACTTGTACTCTTGAACTTATTTATTTGGAAAAAAGGAACACTTTTTTGTTTTCCCATTTTAAGCTACCAATTCGTTGTCCTGCAAGTATACCAGCTGACTCTAAGGTACCCTGTAATTCAATCATTGCCCATTCCGCGATGCCATCTCTGAAAATAAAAGTTCTATTCTTGTTCCATTCATCTTTTGTTTATTCTATTATAATTACTTTAGTCAACGTATAAAGCTAGCTGTACGTTGATTAGCATATTTTAAACAAATAAAAATTCAATCATATATGAATTCGCGTTTTCAAAAGAAAAAAAAAAAAAACCCTATCTTAGCTAACCGTACATAAGATATTCTCAGATTTTCAAAAGAAGAACTGAAAATAAATAATTGAACGTACTCCCGCCGAATCAACTTTATCTGCATATTCCGATGTTTTTCCTATTGTGGTCACGTAGAAATTGATACTGTACTTACGTAAAATATCACTGGAAAAAAAGTGATTTTGTTACTAATAATAACAAAAGGCATCAATCAGCAATTATAATCAAAAACATATCATAAGATGAATGTTTATCAGTTCATTACATCACCAATTTCACCGAAACCTATTTTACTAATGGTAGATGAAGAAATAAAATAAAAACTTCCTTAATAAAGATCATTTTTTGAACACATAAAAATAACTACTTATATTCGTTATAAAGCATAAAAATATGCTCTCCAATTAAAAATATACTCGCCAAAACGAATTATTCGTCTAGAATAAGTCGAAAATTTTTGAAATTGAAATATAAACCATTAATCCTTAAATTATTCTATAGAGAAATTCGTAGCCTATTCTCTATCCTTTTTACGATTATTTAACATTACTTCTGCAGACTTCAAGAGATGAATTAAACGGTAATCGACAATCGGTAATCATCGCCAGAATTAAATTATTGGAAATTTTAATAGCTTGCGAAACTAATATCCGATGTAAAATTCGATAATTCAATCGATTGCATATCAACTAGGATATTTTGGCCACTAGTAGAATTCGGTTATTTCAATCTCCGCTAATTTGTTCAGGAAAATTTTGTACGAATGCATAAGAAGTAAACAAAATCAGGCCAACCAAACTAATAATTATTTTAAGATGAATTAAAACAACAGTCATCATCACGAATGGAATGTATTAGATATTAGATGGACAAATTCAAGTCATGTCGCTCAATTCTCCGTCACACTAATAACTTTGTTATATGATGAAAATACTACAAACTCTCAATGCAACATTCATTTTAATGAAATAACTTCTTTTCTCTTATTTAAACAATTTTCTCAATTTATGATATTTGTTTCAAAGACAGAGAAAAACAAAACCTGCACAATTTTCGAAAAATTCCGAAATTTCATTTAAAATAGCACTGGAACAAAGATTGCAAGATATAGCAGTACTCAATGAAGGAAACAGACAATGAATTAAGATGAATTAATCAGATTAATTTTTACAGCATTTAGCAAATCATAATACATACTAGGAAATAGGTATCATATGAAACAACGTCTTTAGAAGGTAAAAAGAAAATGAAAAACACAGAAATTAAAAACACACGATAGATACAACTTACAATTGCTTTCATTAAATTAATTCATTATATTTCACTAATGAAATCAATAAACAAGCCATAATAAACAAAGTAAGAAATAAAAAATTAATTTCTTAATTTACAACTGATGTAAACCTTCTTTACAGGTCAGTCAAACAACTGGTATATACTCTCAAGCCCGAAATGATAAACTTTCCGCACAACCTATCGCAAATTTGTATAGCTAAATTTAAATATGATCTAAATATAATAAAATAAGAAAACAAAGTACAAGCACCGTATATTGAAGCAAATAAAAATGTTACAATAGAAAAAATGCAGGAAGCCCCAAAATCGCTTTGCGTTCAGATATAATTTAAAATAAAGATAGTATCTCAAAGTTTTAAAGAGTCCATATGTCAGAGCTTCCATAATTAAAAAAAAAAAAAATGAAAGGTAAAAAGAAAAAAAAAATGAACATAGAGGCATCAAAAATAATTACGCTAAGATGCCAAAATCCAACACGTTTTTATGCTAATAAATATGAATATTCCAGAAAAATATTTGCCAGAACACAGGTCAAAGCTAAACTTTAATATTGTGGCATCTTCAACATCAGTAACAATGATAAACAGCATCACTTACTTTAATTATTATTGCCACAAAAATTAGAATTGAGAATTCGAGTCCTAATGCAACCTCGATTATGATCAAAAGAAAAAAAGAACGGATGTCTGTTTAGGCAGCTACAAGATAGCAGCGACATGATGGTAATATCCGAAATCTTTGTATTTTGTTTTCAAAAAGGGAGATAAAAAAGCTCAAAAATTTTTTATTCTATTTTTCAAAAATACTAAAGGCAAAATTTAAAAAAAAAGGAAAACAAGCAACCGAGGTGTCTCGATGCCTAATAGCAGAAATAAGATTGTACTGAGGAAATAAATCTCTACTCTTTCAGGCAAAAGATCTACAAAATAACAATTTTCTTCTTGAGGTAACGGACTCAGATCACTAAATGCTAATAAATAAGATTTCAATGTAATAAAGAGATGTATTAATATTAGCTCCTGAATTTAATACATCTATCATAATAAGTGTAGAATATTCTGCATTACCATTGCTTAAAAGCATCATATCTTAACACTTTCAGAAAATTCCCCATTAAATGTTTCATTGCTATCGTATTAATAAATAAGAAATATCTATTTGTTAGAAACAAAACTGTGAAATTTTTAGCGATTTCAAAAATTTCTTAAAAACTTATAAATAATCCTGGAATTAGTGAAATTGTGTAAAAGTTCAAAATGACAGATTAGTATAGGAATTCCAAATGCAATCCAAGAAGGCAGAAAAAGAATAAAGTCTCATGATTAAACCGAAGAGACCCGCTACAAGCTTTATAAACTGAGATTACTAACTAAATGTAGTAAGGCATGAAATTATTCATGCATTTTATATTGGAAAAACATAAAGTTAAAGATGTGAAAATAAAGGAAGTTCTCTTGATCATTTTGCAAGTATCACGGGAAGATTTGTGCTGAGCAACATCCTACAATGCACTTCACTGCTTTCGCATACCATTTTTCCAGTAAACATTTCTGGAAAGGAAAAGCAATTGAACAAATTAGTTAAAAAATTACAATTATCATTCAGGCATTCAGTGTAGGGTATCTTCCAGTGACAAGATGATGATGATGATTATGGTCGTATATGTAATTCCTGAAAAGACTTATGAAAGAAATCATCAAACGGTTCTATCTGATCACTAGAATTGCTGATGGCGCGATGTAGGTTTTCGAAGTTACATCTATGATTTGTTCCCACTATGTCGAATATGATGTCCAATCGCTCTTACTCTGCATAAATGTCGATTTGGACTTTGTATAAGATAGAACACAATTAATTCTACAGTGACAATAAAAAGTGAATATAAAGATATTGGAAAATACCTAAAACATGCATGAAATATTTCTGCTTTTATGTTTTCCTAAGGATTTTGAAAAAATCCTAGTTCGGCAAAACTTCTTCCAAAAACTAAACCACATATCAGATAAATAAGAAAGCAGAAGATGACTTACAGGTATGCTATCGCAGAAATGGTGGTCGAGGGGGGCGTATACCCGGCAGAGTAGGTCTAAGTGGAAAGGGCTGCCGTCTTGCAAAGAAAGGTGGCGTGATCCGTGGTCTCAACGGCGGAACTGCCAGAGAGGGAAAAGGTGAACAAGTTGCTAATCCAGACGGTCTGAGAGGTGGTCTTACCCGAACCCCTCCCGATAGTAATCCCGAGAGTGACGATCCTGGAAGTCCTCTGGGTAACCTATTAAGAGGCATTCGATTCTGGACTGGCGGAGGAACTGGAGGACGAGGTCGTACCATTGGTGTCCCTGCACGTAGTGTCAAAGCTGGTGAGTTTGCAGATGCCTAAAAGATAATATGAGCTTTTTCCTTATTAATAATAAATGAGAAATGACCTTATTAATTTGAAATTAAGCCCAAGCACTTAAAATCTACTCGCTCGCCCAATTTTTGAGTCTGGTAGAAAGCAAGATGCACATAAACCAAGCACGGATAAATAGCATTTCGAATATAGAGAAAAAACAATACATCTAACCTTCACCAATTTCAATAATTCCTTCGATTTTTTTAATAATGGTATTATGTATGAACAAATACAATAAATATATGAACCTTCATCGGTTGATCAAAAAACATCATCCGCGAAGTATTCGTTGACTGAGAGGATGATGATGGCGGCTGGTGTAGTATTGTTTTTTTCGCCTTTTCGGATACAGATGGACCAGGTTCATGGGACCAGCGAGCATCCATATTTGCCGGTGGCCAACAAAAATCAACCTCCCGATCTCCATCGTTAATTTCAGGTACTGAAGTGGGATTATTGGAAGCAACACCGCCAGTAACAGTAGCAGCGCTATCACTGCTCTGTGGGATAGATAAAGCAGAAAGCAATGTTTTAATAACATTTTGACTGGATGGCACTGAAACTGGCTCATCAGATGATTTCGAGCTGCCAAAATTCCCTGATGTGCTATTGACAGCTCCTCCAGGTAGTGATAAATCAGAATTGTAGCCCGACGCTAAAGCTGCGTTAATCGGAACAGATTCTGTTTTCATAGCACCAGCACCAGATGAAAGAAACCGCGATGAGCTTGTCTCACCACCATTGAATGCTGCATTGTTTGTAGGTAGAGATTCCAGGGAAGCTTGCATCTGAAGAGGTGGAAGACATGAATAACCAGTGGAGAAAGATTTTTCGTCCTGCTGATGTTGTGTACCGAAAGTACTAGTACCAGCAGTACTATCTGCTGAGGTCCCTGGATTTTGATGCTTTTGATGATGCTGTTGTAGTGGTGGTGGAGAATAATTTGTAGTCCGATACTGAGAGCGATACGGATTTTGTGATGTTCTTAATTCGGAGAAATTGCAATTGCTGCTTGCAGTTGAATAAGTACCAGTTCCGGTCTGATGTGACCCGCAGCCGAATGATGCATTTGATACTATCAGCGGTTTTGGAGGCTGCTGGTGTAATTGCTGTTGCAAGGACGTTGATGTTGTCAATGATCCACTGGCTGTGGTGGTTGTGCAAGAAGTAGTAGGGACCGAATATGATGATATCGAAGTATTACAGATATTGTAATTTGTAGCACTGGCATAAGGATGTAGCACTGTTGGTGGTAGCATAACAGCTGGGTGATTATTCGATTTTAATATTGGGCTGTTATTATTACTAACATTCGCTGAGCTATAATGACTGTTGTGCGCAAGCGTGACTGATGGATAGTGATTGCTAGCTGCAAAGGCGGCTGTGGTGGGTGGTAATTGCTCAGAAGATGAGCCAGGATATAACGCAAATGCTGGAGTTTGATTTGTATATGGTGCAGCGGCAGAAGCAGTAGGAGTTGCAGTAACATGGGATAGTGTTGTGGAAATATTCTGGAATGCACTCATTATTCCTGAAACTTGAGAAATCATCAATACTGAATCATAACAAAAAAAAGAAATTACGTTATTTAACAAAAATTACGTCAAGAAAAGTAGAAAAGGAGCGGAAAAATGTCTTGTGAGAGAAAAGTAGAACCTGAAGGTTGCGCTGTTGCATGTGATGCAAGATTTAAAGATGGCACTGTTGGTACCGTTAATGATGATGATGCAACAAGATTAGCGGCATATGGTACACCACCGAAAATAACAGATGCAGCAGCAGTAGATGATTTTTGAGGGCCAGCAACCGTAGAAGAGCTAATATTTTGATCAACAGTAAGCTGGTGAGGTGGAGGAAAATATGAATATAAAGATGGAGCATTTCCTGTTGTTGACGTGCTAACAAGAACCTGAGAGGCATTAGCAGGATGCAACATAACCAAGGGTGGAGGTGGTGGGGGTGTTGGCAAAACGGCAGATGCCATCACTACAGGGGCAGTAGAAAGGCCAACGGGTAAAGCTGGAACCATATTCGGTGAGGGTGGTGTCAGAGGTGCAGGTGGTGGAGGTGGCAACAAGACGCCATTCCCACTAACACTTTTATTACTTTCCAGATCCATTTCTACTGGATACATGTGGATGTCTTCTTTGGAAGCTGTCTGATTTTGCCTGTAAATAAAATAATAGCAGTTACTGATAAGCTTGACAAATAGGATGCATAAACCTTTAGAAAAGGATATAGGTAAAGATGTACCCGTCTTGTTGATCATCGTTTTTCTTGCCAACCTTTAGCAATGCATCTTTCAGTGTTTCAAGTAAGACTTTGTGATCAACCTAAATGAATAAACTAATTCACATCCTTTGCAACATTCTGTCAATTCAAGACAATTTTTGACACAGCTTTAAAGCAAAATTATATTGATATTTTCTGCAAACTTCAAAGAATGTTTGCATTAAAGTCAGGTAAGTTTCAAAACTATTAACTAAAACTGTAAATAACCCACGTTCTTGTGGTATATCTATAGTTTTAGTCTTCCATAAGAATCTAAAGTAAACAAGCAATTAGGAATTGGCTAAGTTTTCGAACCTGTTTCATCGCTTTCTGTAACTCTTCACCCAAACATTCTGCCAGCTGATTATGCGGAAGTTTCGTAAGTTCTGCCATTTCAGCTATCAAATCAGGCGTTTCCTCTATTTTTGGTTTACTACCCTGAAAACCAAAACTGTTAATTCACATTTCTCAATATTATTGAATAAAATATACAAGATCAAGTTCAATCCAACTCTTACATCAAGAGAACTTCAGCTAATTTCTTGCAACAAAAGTGGTAACTATTAGAGAAAACAAGCTTTACCTCTACTGATAAAACAAGGGTTTCATCGACAGGAGGAGGAGGCGGAGGACTGGAAGGTGAAGCCGAACCAACACCTCGTGAAGAGAGTACTGATGAATTAGCGTCATGCCCTGGTGAACCAGGTGGCGTTTTTGGCCCCCGTCTTTCCTCATTTGCAACACCAACAGGTGGCGGTTCACATATAATTGGAAAATCATCCACTTTACTATTTGACTAGAAAAAATTTTTTAAGACTTCAATGTAATTTCAAGCTTATGATTAAGCACAAGATTCCATGCTTCAATATAAGAGGATAAATGACTTCAGCTTAATAATTTATATTATGACTGTTCAGTACACAAAATTATATAGGAGAAATGTTGTAAAAACAAATGCATTCTATAAGTATGGCAAAAAGCATGGTCGAAAGCTAACATTTTTGCGATTTCTGGATGGCAAATTATCTTTAGGATCAAATGGTAAAAAACCAAGGACAACATGAGAATCCACACGGCCCGTAAGCATTTTATGTCCAAGTAAACGCTCCATTAATCCCTCTCTTTGCATGAATGCATAGCATGACGAGTCATCATTCTGATGACGCTCCAAATCTTCACGCGTAAGTCCGGAAGTACTTCGTTTAGGTGGACTACTAATGATATTAGCCGTCATACCACTTGGACCTGCTTCATCGATATCATCTTGAGCTTAAAGATTCGTCGAAATTATCATAAACTTAAAGAAATATTGAACAGACCAGCCTTATTAAAAAAATTCCAATTCGAAGATCCACAATAGCTAGATTAAAAAAGGAGGTCAGAATTGGTATAAAACTTCAATTTCGTGACAACTACTATGCAAATTTGTAGTCTACAATATAAGTCAATCGAAAGTATTTAGATATTACAAAAATATAAATATATAAACAGCTTTACGTGTATCTTTTTTCCGCTCTTTCGGAGGGTTTACCATAGAGTCTAAGATTCGATCAAAAAGTTCTCCAGGTTTCGATTTTCTTGAGTGTGTGGAGGTTTGCTGGTGGTCCTGTGTAGTCCTGAAATAATAAAGCAAATTTTTCGGAAAAATGTGGCAAGTATGATGCCAAATAATTACTGGAACAAAAAATTTTGTTTAAAATTAATAACTAAACTTTTCATTTCGATTTTAAATCCAAACTAAAACCACATAATGATTTTATCCATACCAACAGATTCTTTTAATATAAACCGCATATTAGTATCAGTAAACATTTAGTTCATTTCATCAGGATCAGAACGTTACTAACTTCTTTTTAGTGAGCGGCACAATGCGACTAGAAAATGCTGAATCGTTCTTGCGAATCGAAGATGTCGAAGCAAGTGGAGAACGTGAATCTGACTGACCTCCCAAACGAAGTCGTTTTGTCTAAATAAACGGATGATAAATTTAATGGTAGAATTTAGCATTTACTTCAAATTATTTTATTAAAACGAGACATTTTGGAACAGGATGAAACAAAGTAACCCTTGGATTGGATTCTTTAACATTCTGGCTTCCAAACCAAAGGCCAAGGAGACAATGCAAATTAAAACTTGTTGAAGCAAGCTGGAAAACCACAAACCATTCTTTGCCTAAATTTATGATAAAAAAACAACAGTAGAGTTTATCACCCAATCTTTGCCACCGCGTTCAGCTAAATTAACAGTCACTGAAAACACATTTAACCTACCTTGCTGGTTCCTTTTTCAGTCCCTTTCTGACCATATACACCAGCCTTAGACTAAATTTACTTACCTAATGAGTTGCTAAATAACTTATAAACTTGTTTAATTTGCACATTTTCCCAAATTAATGCACCAATGTAAGAGTTCGAAATAAGACCACACACTAGCTCACCTTATCCGGTATACCATCCGCTACGCTATTTTCACCAGTTCTCCGCCTTGGAATTCGAAATGGACGTGTAAGTTCATTAGTGCCTATGTCCATTTTTAACAATACATCATAACCAACTTTAATTCCCTGAAATGTCAAAAACTAATCTTAGACAAAGATAGTTTTGAAGAAAAAAATAAGACAAGAACAAATGGAATCCAGAATTCTGTTTATTTGAGAAGAAATAAGAATGAAGACTATAACTGGAAAAGTCGATACTCAATTTCAAGTAGCTAAAGAACAATCAAAACAAATTCCACTAAAAATAAGACAAAACTTAGAGCTGATAAATCGCCCATTAACTAACTAGATTAATGAGTTTGGACTAACTGGATTTGAAATTAAGGAAAACCTAGTCAAAATTAAAAGGAATCGGAATAAGCTTAATCAAAACCAGGCAAATTTTGGAATTAAGTTCAGGTTTAATATAAGCAAAGGTGAGTCAGCAAATAGTTTCATAACTGGCAACGTAAGTTATACCTAATCCTAAGACATTTACATACATGATGTTTCCGAAAGCTGGTAAGCTTAACATTTTGTATTTGCCTCTTTCCATTTAGCATCTGACTCCACCAACTTTACTTTAAACATTAATACTTATGCTTCATTTAAGTGTTTTCAATCAAACATCAAAAATTTCGATTAGAACTTAAACTTCATCGAAATTAAATTCAAGCAACAAGTTTCATTCGATTTGTTGAAGTAATAAGCCAAAAACAAGTCAGGGGGACAAAATTCCGCACCGAATAACTTACATCGGAAAAAATAAAGCGGCTATTTTCAATCGCGGCCAGTGTCCAGTCTACATGAGCGTTTATGAAAAATTTTTGGGTCAGGAATACTCTTCACATTTCCAATATTTTATTCTTTTTCTTTCATCTTGATTGTTTTTGCTATAGTTTGCTCTCAGAGTGAGCGCTATAAGCAAGGAAATGCTTTTAATTCAATTACTTAGGAAAAGTTTTACGTCATATATGATGTAAATTGCGTATGGCATATTGTATGCATACGTGAAAATTTATCATTCGATTTATTTTTTTTTTCACAGATTTGTTATCATTCCATTTTTTTTTTGATTCAGATTCAAATTTCCATGAAATCTAAACAAAATATACTGAAACGTTTATGCTTTTTCCTTCTTTCTTTTTCTTCTAAAAAACAGAAAAGAAAAAAGTTATTTATGAAGTATATTATAATTATTAATCATAGTTAACTTTATTATTATTTTAAACAAACAGTTCTGTATATTTTTAGTTTGTTTCACCAAAATATTTTTATTTTGTAGGAGCTTATTAATTTACTCATTGGTTTAATTTAATGACATCGTTATGGAAGTGCTTATTTAAACTGATTTATATAATTGTTATTAACTGTTCTTTGGTTTATTTTATATATTTCATATGGATTTTCCTCGTTTCTTAACCTTATTTTCATGAACTTAATTGCAAATGTTTAGTTTTTTTCGGAAAGATCTTATAATAGTGGGAAAAGGATGAAAGAAAAAAGTTCAACTTATTAACATTTAATATTACCTTGCCAATTTTGCTTGATATTTTTGAGACATTAAAGTGAACATTGTGCGACATTGCCGCGTCTACTATTAATCCAACTCATATCGATTCTTTTTATTCATTGCCCTTTCATTTCTATCCTGCTATTCATTAAGTTTGGAGTATTATCAGTGAAAGGAGAAGCTTTATGATAGGCAGAAATTTGAATTTTAGATCCGAATTTGAATTTGAACTCAAAAGTTCGAATTTATATATTCATTAGGAATGATGAAACATAAATTTCTTTATGTTCTATAGTGAATTTAATCGAGATAATGTTTTGATTCATTCAAAATTCATACAAAAAATAAAATAACAAATAGCGATTGAAATGAATGATAAAAATACGGATTTTCTAGATTCAGTTATTTTTTAGAAAATTAAGCTAAATTCCAAGATTTTTCTGTTTTTTTCGGAATTTCTCACGTGATATCTGACATATTGTTATATTATGTACATTAAAAAGTTAAGACAATATTAAAGTTAATGTCAGAGAGTAAGCGGCAATAATCGCCGTTAAAAAAAACTTTTTTTTTTTTTAATGAAATGACATAACCGGTAGCGTAATTGGAAACAATTTACATATAGTTATGAATGTGAAGCTAAAACAATAGACGAGTGGATGATAATTGATCGTTATCGATTAATTGTCGATCAGTATTCTTGATCTGATCTGATTTCACGAAAAAAAGAAATGATTGTCAACTGAACACCATCAGTGAAGTAAAGTCGAACAGATATAACAGTTCTAAAAAAAGAAAACAAAACTGTTGTATTGCTGGGAAGGAATTATAGGCTATAAAATCAATATTGCAAAAAAAAAAAACTAATCTATTTTTCAGTGGCATTTTATTTTGTCGAAAAAAAAGTTAAAGAGGAAAAAAGTTACATCAAATTCTACAATAGCAAGAAAAATTTTGTATGCTTGAGGAGAAAGGGAAAGTTCTTCGTAATTTGAAATTTTTATGAAAAATTTTGGAATTTGAAAAAAACAAAAGGAATGGGAGGAATTATGAAGAAAAATTAGGAAAAATAAGAAGAAAAGGGAAAAAAAAAATCGGTAACACATATTTAACTACTTTACTGACAACCCCCTTGCATTGTAATGAGATCAAGAATTAGAGTTATCATTTATTTTCGTTTTCTTTTCTAAAATTCTAAGAGAATTTCTTTTTTCTTTGTCTTTTTTCTTTTTAAAAGCAAAAGTATTGCCATAAATGCTTTAATAAATAGTGTAAAATTAGCATACATTTTTCTCTAAAATTTTTTCTAAAGTTTAAAATCGAAATATTTTAAAACGAATAAAAGCAGTAATTTGTAAGATGCATCCAAAATTTAAAATTGATATATTTTTAAATTTACAACAAAGCGGAAACAATCAAGGCGGCAGAAGGATGTGTAAAAAACAGATTTTATATTTAAATTCATTTAGTTCTCGAAATTAATTCTTTCAATCCGGTCAATTCTAGCGTTTTTAAACTTTTTTTTTTCTATGAAACATTAACAACAGTAACAACAACTTCAATCTTTACTGCTGTTCCCTTTTTTGATGATATTTGGAAAAAATAATTCTTCATTTGTTCTTTCTCTTTTGTTTCCATTTATTTTTTAAAATACTTGAACTTTCTTTTTCATCTTCAATTTCGAAATTTACACCAACCAATCAACTCTTCTCACTATTGGCAAACAAATACCTTATTAGAAACAAACACTTCACCTAACTTACTTACACCTTTCAACGATTACCTTTATGATCATTTTCGAAATTTATGATTGAAATATGTAAAATCAATTTCATATAAGAAATAAATCGTTCATTATTAATTTATTAAGAAGTTAACGAAAAATTAGAAGGACTAAGCTTGTGTTTGTCGTGAATGCATAATCTAAATTTGACCGCTATATCTTTGAATTCTTTTTGCTGCTATGATCTTTTACATGTATTTTGCCCTAAATATAACGACTTAAATTGTACATACAATCTTCATTTGAGAATTAAAGGATGTATAAAAGTCTAAAAATTTAATAATCTTCAGTTTCAAGTTCAATAATTGAATGCTAAAAAGTAGAAGCAAATCGATAACCATTTCATTTTAATTTTTATTGTTATTTTTAATTATTCGATTTCGGTTTTTAATTGTTCGATTATTTGCAAATGCTTCCAAAAGAAATGTCAATAATCAATTTTTATTTGCCTGAGAAAAACACCGGATTGCTGAAATAACTAAGACGGATGCGGAACTTTTAGTTACATTGATGAAACATAAAATCTAACAAAAATTCCATAAAGACTTAGAAGATTTTTCTTTTTGTCGTTTCAAGGTATCATCAAGACTTCTATAGCATAATTATTCTAATTCTATTTAAAACTGAAATGCAAAATTTGGAATTAAGACAAATACTAACTGAAATACCACCAACCAAATAATAGTACCTTTTAAGAAAATAAGGTAGCCACAAACAATACTTGAAACATTAAATCCGGATGCACTTTATATACAAAACATTTCTGAAAGGCATCGTTACATGATGACATGACAAAAAAACTTCTGCGCCATAGAAAGCCCTGTATGTATCCGTTATTCTTGAAAGTTTAATCGGAATTCAAAATAAAGTATTGGAGGATATCAACTAAAAATTTTAATTTGAGCATTCTTCAATATGAAAAAAAGTGAAAGAAGAAATATTTTCTTCTAAAAATGAAGTCGAAATTAACTAACGAAGCAGTAAAAAGTGAAAATAACCTAGAACACAGAACTGGCAGTAGTAGAGTTATTAAGAACTGAGCATCAGAAATGGTAAGAAAAAAAAATTGTAGCAAGCTGAGATCCTCCTATTACCTGTTATTTTCATTTGATTCTAACGTTTCATCTTATTTGTTTGTTTTTTTTTTTTTTTTTTTTCTGGAAATAATCTGAATTTGCTGAATGAAAAGATAATATTTCTCTTCCACTGTAGTGTTCCAATTATGGATAAAAATAAACTGCTCTAATCAAGGTACTTATCCAGCCAATTATTTAGTTTTGCTCGTAAATTTTATTGTAAATTTCATTCCTATTGTAAATTTTTACTCCAATTTTTTTTACTAATTCTTCATTAGCTCAACTCTTTGAAAATCCACAATAACATATCACAGAAATGCGTATTTTACTCATCAACAGAAGACCTGACACTGTCGCTGGATTCAATATTTTTTGTTAACGTGTAAGAAGCAGAACATGAAATTCGACCTTCACTATCACTTGTTATGGATGTAGACGCAGGGGCACAAGATAGTGTAGCTGGTTTCTCCGATGACGACAAAAGGGTTACGGAAGGCATTGTCACGTCAGCTATCGAACGCACATTTCCGGGTATTATACTTTTTTCTTTACGCTTTTCACCTCGTGCTCGTCGTTCTTTTTCTGCACATTTTGCAGCACTGTCTACCTGAAATGAAATATTCCTGCAATCGGAATTTCTACCTAAAAATTCAGTTTAAAATCAGTAACCATAAACATATTGATAAACTTTAAATTTTGCATCCGGCTAATACGTTGAAATTTTTGTTTTCAAACTGTTAACGCACATAGCTACACCAAAGTAAAAGGCAATGTGATGTGGATTAAATTAAAAGATATCGAATTTAAAATATAAAAAACAGTTTGGACGGCAATTAGATCTTACTTCTAAAGCTTTCGCAACAATATCCTGAATTTTCCGCTCCATTTCCTCATCTTCTTTCGGATCACTAGGTTGTTTGTTGGACCCAGAAAGTGGTTTTTTGGCAACGCCATTCCGGATCTGCCGTTGTCGAGAACGTTTCAGTGGAGTGGCACCAACAGAAAGTGAAGTTAAGGTCGACTGGGTGGAAGACTGATGTCCAAAACCACCTTAAATATGCATTGTTGCGAACACCAATTTCATATGTGCACTTTATTTCGTAAACCGAAAATTCGATTTTGTAGTTAACAGATTTATCTTTTGTTAGATTCTAGAACACACTAAATATTTCACTACCTGGAGCGGATGAA